AGAACCCGTTTAATGTATGAATATATCTCAGTATATGTCATACTACAAGAGTGACCGCTGGCCTGGAGATGAGTGTAGACCTCAGAGTCCTGGCCTGATGATGTTGATCTTCTGTGCTGGGCCATCCTTTTGGCCAGTGGCTGTTTAGTTTCCCCGATGTAAGACTGATCACCCTCCTGACACTGAACAACATGCACAACATTACTCTGTTTGTGCCGGGGGACTGGATCTTTGGGATGAACCAGTCTTTAATGTATTTTGGGGTTTAAAAGCCACTGGGACGTTATGTTTAGAAAATAAACGTCTCAGTTTCTCTGATACTCCCTCAACATACGGAATGACCACTGGTCTGGGTCTGGGTTCCTCCTTTTCACCTGATGGCTGACTGGAGTCCTGTGTGGGTTTCTTCTCTGCTTTCAGGAAGGCCCAGTTAGGATATCTGTGTCATTTTTCTCCACTTTTTATTATCTGTCCAAACAGGTCTCACTTGTGAATGAGTCTTCGAGGCTCAATGTGACTTATCTGTTTAAATAAAGGTTGAATGAGAAAAAAAAAAAAAAAGAAAACCTTGAAAGAGCTCAAAATGATCTGTATCACCTGCAGCTCAGTCAGGAAGTGCAGCAACGTCTCCACCATCATTAAAATCTGTCGTGAGTCCATTTTGGGTGCTCAAGTTTGTTTACGTTCATCCCGGAAGTAGAACTTCTTCTTCTTCTGTGGTTTTTATAAGGAGAGTTTACCACTCTGCACATGTCAGTACTTCTGTTCAGATCAAAGCCCGCTGCATGTAAACGCTCATCATGAACAGATTGTGTCCATGTAAACAACACATTTGAATTATTTAATCTGAAAACATTTCAATCCTGTCAAAGAATTTTGCGCATGTAAACATAGCTAATGTTGGGCCTTTGTATAGATGAAGTCTGTGTGTACATTAAAAACTAAGTGTGTATCCACTTCAGTTTCCAGTTATTTACTGTAAAAGACCACCTGCTGGCCCTGGATGATAATTCTTCATTTTTCACTCTGACGTACCATTCACTTTGTTGTGCTGGGACTTAAAAATCAAAAGGGTATACTTTAGTATACTTTAGAAATTTATTTAAAGCAAGTTTTTTTCTCAGATTTGGCGATGCTGATCCTTATCCCTGAGACCATGGTCCTCAGTCAGAAAAGGGTGGATTGCACTGTCTGGGTTTGGGATGAGGTTCTGCCTCAAGTGGAGGAGTTCAAGTATCTCGGGGTTTTGTTCTCAAGTAAGGGAAGAATGGAGTGTGAGATTAACAGACGGACTGATGCAGCATCTGCAGTATTGTAGACTGTGCCGGTCCATTGTGGTGAAGAGGGATCTGAGTTGTAAGGCAAAGCTCTCTGTTTACAGGTCAGTCTACTTTTCTACCCTCATCTATGGCTTCCAAGTCTGGGTAGTGACCGATAGAGCAAGATCCCAGAAACAGGTGGTCAAAATGAGTTTCCTCTGCAGGGTATCTGGACTCTCCCTTAGAGATAGGATGAGAAGTTCAGTTATCCAGGAGACTCAGAGTAGAACCGCTGCTCCTCTACTTCGAGAGGAACCAGTTGAGGTGATTTGGGCATCTGGTAAGAATGCTTCCTGGGCGCCTCCCTAAGGAGGTGCTTCAGACATGTCCAACTGGGAGGAGACACCGGGGACGGCCCAGGACACACTGGAGAGACTATGTCTCTCAGTTGTCCTGGAAACACCTTGGAATCCTCCCAGAAGAGCTGGAAGAGGCTGTGGAGAGAGATGTGTGAGCCTCCCTGTTCAAGCTGCTGCCCCCATGACAGAACAAGCAGAAGATGATGGACGGACGTTTTTTTCCCCCTCATTTAACTCATTATTCTGGAGTATTTTGTGCAAAATCCATTTAAGTTCAGGGTTGTAAGGACTGAAACCAGAAACTATCCCAGGATGTATTGTTGATAAACTGTTCTTACATTTGTTCACAGCCATGCTGCTGTTGACCAACCAGTCTTTGAATGAAACAGAGACTGAGCAGGATGAGGAGGAGAGGGAGACGAAGATGAGGGACGTGCAGGCCATGATCAGAGAAATGAGGCTTGAGTGCTGTGTGCGACAAAAACAACTGGCTGACAAGGAGAAGTCTGAAGCAGAGAAATGTAAGTTTGATAAAAACAACATCACAAAACATTTTCTTTACAGTTGTTGCAGTTCATGGAAATATAAAGATTGTATCAGAGCACTTGTTAGTACTGGCAGTGAAGTGGTTGTACTGTGTGTGTGTGCGTGCATGCGTGTATGTACAGTTATCAAAATATCCTTGAACCATTGGATGGCATTTCATGAAGCTCTCAGAATGTTTTCATTGGATGGACATTACAGCCACCACAGTCAAATGACCTTAAAAACACACAGAAATTGACATAATTAAGTCTATTTTTTAATATAATTGTATAAGCAAAAAACTGTTTAAAATAATGTAGCAAAAGGCTAGCCAACAGTCAAAACTAACAAAAGACTAGCTAAAGGTTCCTAAAAGGGCTCAAATTTCATGTGGTAGTATCTAAGAGTCATTCCCTAGAGGTGTAATCGACTTGTTGACTAGTCAACTTTTGCAGCTTAATAATCATTTTGGCTTTCCTGTGACTTATTCAGTTCAATTCAGTTTATTTATAAAGCACCACATCACAACCAAGTTGTCTCAGGGACTTTACAGGAACATTCACATAAAAGCCAGTTAGTAAAGTTCTCTATCTAAGAATCCAGCAGACAAGTTGAATCTTGGCTTTGATGCAGTCTCCCATCCTGAGCGAGCACAGTGGAGACAGTGGAAAGAAAAAACTCCCTTTAACAGGAAGAAACCTCCAGCAGAACCAGGCTCAGGACAAGAGACCATCTGCTTTGACCGACTAGTTGAGAGGACAGGAAGGAGAGACAGACGAACACAGAATGGTAGGTCCAGGTATAGGTCCAGGTCCAGATATAGGTCCAGGTCCAGATATAGGTCCAGGTGAACCTGAAAGACAAAACCACATGTTAAGGATAGAAGAAATAATTACAAATACAAAACAGAGTCAGAGTTTCTTTATTGTCATTCGCACCTCATGTGGTACATATGGTGGAGCGAAATTATGTACACAGTGTCCCAGTTACATCCAACAATAAAATGTAAAATAAAAACGGTAAAACATTAGGGATGGGGCTGATCCAATCCAGTATCGGTATCGGCCTCCGATACCAGCATAATTTATGTATCGGATATTTCTGATCCATGATGCATGTTGGCTTCAAACTATGGAATGGATTTCCTGAACGGAGGCGTGTCTCATGAACCCAGAGTAATAAGACCCGCCTCACATTCAGGAAATCCAGTTCATAGTTTGCAGCAGACACAAAGGTGAGGACTGAGTTAGCAGCACTGTGGCTAACAGCTAACCAACTTTTCATCTAAACATGTCGCTGTGTGGAAGTATTTTACACTAAACACACAAAACAAGACAGCAACGTGCACTGTCTGCAGAGCCACCGCGCCACATTAAACCACGGTAAAGTTAGTTTTATGTTGGACATTCGAGCTCCGGGGCTTCAACAGGGCGCTGCTCTTTGCTCAACCCACAACAGGCGACTCGACCCCGGCCAGCCGCGTCCAATCTGCCTCGCTCAGTCTGCCCGTCTCTGAGGAGGAACAGACTGAGCACGGCTGCCACAAATCAGGCTGCTGCTACGGACTGAACAAGAAGAAGACGTCGCTGAAACCACGGAGCTCAAATGTTTACAGAGAAGTTGCTAAACTTCATCATAATTAATGACCAACCACTATCAGTTGTAGAAAATGAAGGATTTCACAGTTTGATACTTGCAGTCAAGATCTAGTTTACCCTCCAGGAGATATTTATCAGTACAACAGTAGACAATCATAAAAAACATGATTTGAAAATTACAAGAAAATTATATATAATAAAACAAAAACAGCTACATTATAAAGTGATGTAAAATACTAAAAACAGGAACATGTCTGTTGGTTTATGCCATGAACTTAGCAGATGTTTAAAGTCATTTAATATTTAATTTGATTAATTTATTCATTCATTTAAAATAAACAAAATTTAAAAAAAAATCATCAAAAAGAAAACATTGAATGAAAAGAGTTCAGAAAGAAGAAAAAATTATTATATCTGCCCTATACTTAAAAAAATATAAAACAACTTTAAACAATCACTTAAATTAATCACTTTAATATCCACTTTAAAGCTAGGAATAAAAAAAAACATGTTTTGTGTTAGAATTTAATTCTAACTTGAAAACTTATCCAACATTAATAAAACTTACTTCAAGTTGCCTTTTTGGACATGCATGCATATATTTGTACAAATTGTACTTGAGAGGAGATTATTACAGCCTCATGTAAAATCAATGATCATGATATCGGAACTGGATCGGTATCGACCGATATTTAGATTTAGGTATCGGAATCGGATCTGAAGTAAAAAAAGTGGATCGGTGCATCCCTAAATAACATCTAAGATATGAACTAAGAAAAACATCAACTAAATATACACCAAGCACTCATAACATAAAAACATTACGTCGAACATCAGCACAAACATGAACATGAGTCCGTTGAGCAGAGTAAGTAAAGACAGCAGCAGAGTGAAAAGTGTGGTCAGTTTGTCCTCCAGCAGTCTAAGCCTATAGCAGCAGAACTAAGGGACAGCTCAGGAAACCCAAGCTGAGCCTAACTATAGGATTTATCAAAAAGGAAAGTCTTAATCCTAGCTTTAAAACTGGATAATGTGTCTTGGCGTTATATAAGTACAGTCCATTTAAAGATTGCTGTCTGTGTAACAAGCACCAAGTTCTGCTTGCTGTAAAATAGAAGGCACATCTGAATAAATTCCATTGTGTGTCTGTGGCTGTTTTCAGTGTTGGATCGTGTTCACAAAGAGTTGGCAAATCTTCATGCAGAAAGCCAAAACCTAACCAAGGAGATCAGAGACCGCCTGGAACACCTCCACTCTGACCTGATGGACCTTCGAGAAGTTCTGAATGAAGCTGTGAACAACGCTGCCAGAGCCGCAGAGCTCAACAACTTGAATGAGAAAACTCTGGAGGACAGTAATGTGAGTAGACCTGAGAAATGCACAGAGAGGAGGGTGAGAAGAAGAAGGCAGCTGATGCGTGTTGTTTCCGATTCCCTCAGATGAGGATTGAAGAGCTGCTGCTGAAGCAGAAAGAGGTCAAAGACTTGTTAAACATGGCTGAAGATGATGTGACTCAGGTCAATGACGTGCTGTCCATGCTGCAGGACTCTAAAGAGGTCAGAACCAACAGCAACACACCGAGCACTACCCTCTCTTAGAGTTGCAACCCTCAGTCCTACATTCTTCACTTTCCTCTTCTCCCTCTGTCTCCTGACACGTTTCCCTCCTCGTCATCTTTGACTAACAGTAGCACAATTTTCGCCGGCACGCTGTTTGTCAACAGCACCAGTTGGGTTCATTGTTAACCTGGGCCTCGTCCCATCCAGTATGGTTTCTCTTTCAAGAACGCACACATTACTTTTGGTCAAAGTGTTTTATGACGGATGCTCTTCCTGACACAGACCTCAACATTTACTCAAGCTTGGGACTG